AATATTTCCTTGTTTGTGTGTTGGTTGTTTAATATGTGGAGTCAAACCAAAATGTGTAACCATGCCACACAGTTCTTTTGCACTTCTCTCTTCAGAGTTTTCAACATGTACATTAAAGTCTCCCACAAGAACTAAGGAGTCACGTCCAACACATATCACAGATAAAAGTTCATTTAAATCATTAAAAAAATATATTTTCAACTCTGGAAGCCAGTAAAAATTCCGAAATTCACCCATGATCACTTTTCTTCACTTTAGGAATCATAAAAGAAAGTAACAAGCCCTCCCCTTTGTAAACAGTTTGTTCTAATGGAGAAATTTGTAATTGGAGGTGTGGTCTCCAATAAAATCACCATCTCATTACGTTAATATAGCCGCATCTCTTTTAAGAATATGAAATTATTATGTGTAATTAAGTCATTGATTAAAAATGAGTTTCCTGACGGAGATTTTATGCTGATTAAAGCCAGTTTTGGTTGATTACCTCTCTAGTTGAGCTCCACATTACATAGTTTTTATGTTGGATGATTTACTGCTGTTCATCGTTCGAGCTTTGTTATTTCTGCCATAGCCTATATTAGAATTGAGATTTTTATCACAAGCACTGTCAATGATAATGATGACAAAATTATTTTGTTTACACTTTTTTTTCATGATGATAACGAAAACTGGTGAGCTAAACATGGATCTTTGATGACTAAAACAGAACTTTTCATAGATTTGGGTTTTTTCATCATGAGACAAGACTAAATAAAAATTCATTTAACAAGGGTTCCAATAATATTGTCCATGTGTGTAACTTTTTAACATCTATAGACAAAAGAGAATATGTGTAAAAAATGTATGTTTCGTAACACTTTAAAAAAAAATGCAAGAAAAACAAAGTACTTAAAAGAAATGTGTAACTCCAGACAAGATTACATTGCTGTTCTAAAATAGGGCATTTATTTTGGGCCATGCTGTATAAAATATATTAAACATTCTACTATACATTTCAGTCAACAATGACATCAGTAATGATAGCATCACAAAATACCCAGAATTTATGGAAATAAATAGTGCCTTTATTCCACTCTTTCTTGACGTTGTGACAGTGAATGCATTATGCATTTTTAGTCAGCAGTTAGGCATCCTAAAACCTCTACAAGAAAAAAACACCATATCTAATGCTAAACTTCAAACCTGGACTGACTTTCTGCACTGATGACATATTTTATAATACAGTTTTATGATACATTTTGTGATTAAATTCCTTTTAACAGTATTCAACCAGAAAAAAAATTGGGTGTTTTCCCTTCGGGTTGGAGGAGTATTCCAGCCTAAAGTGGAGGAGTTCAAGTGTCATAGAGTCCCTAATGAGTTAGGAAAGAATGGATCGGGAGATCAAGAGACGGATCGGTGCAGCCAAAAAGCTCTTGATTTACAGATCGTTCGACATTCCCATTCTCATCTTTGATCCTAAAATCTGGATCATGACAGAAAAAATTATATCCTGGATACAAGCGGCTGAAATTTGCTTTTTCTGTAGGATGGCTGTGCACTCCTTTACAATACAGTTAGGGTGAGCAGCTCCATCATTCGGGAGGTGCTGGGTGTTGACCCCTGCTGAGGTGGCTCAGACATCTTTTTCTGATGCCCCTTGACGCCTGCCTCTGGAGGTTTTCTAGGCATGTTCCACCAGGACTGAGCAGAGCTCCGGGAGTTGGCTATGGAGAGGGAAGTCTGGAGGGATTTTATATATACATATATATATATATATATATATATATATATATATATATATATTCCTTTAAATGTTAACAGGGTTATAATAATTAGAATAAAAACGGTTATTGAGCTACAGTTAGTTGTTAAATTCAATCTAAAGAGCAGTTATCTGTTGTTTTACATTGAGATATATTGACAGATTTCAGCCTAAAATGATTGACAGCAAAAAAACAA